GCAGTGAGGTTTTTTTTTTGTTTTGTTTTGTTTTTTGGTTCTTTCAAATGTATAATTCAGCTTGTGAGAAAACAAGAGAAGTTTCCAGGTGCTAGCTATGTAGGAGAGAATGGAAAGTGAGAGATGAAGTTTGTGTGTTGATGCTGTAGCTTCGCTCTGAGTTTGTTCTTTTTTACCCAGAGGCTTGGGCAATATAAGAGGAAAACAATATAATATTAGAAACATAAGAGGAAAACAAAGTCGTGGGCCCACCCAAGGCACGAAGTTGGTATTGAAATAACTACTGTGTTCATAACTTTCAAAATTACGCATCTATAGGGAAAAGGTTTACTAAAGAAAAATCACCTTTGCTCATTGATTTCTCCTTGAACTTGGAGAAGGAAAAGAAGTTGATGATTCTTAAGCACTAACCTGTATCTCACATGAGTTAGTTTTTTTTAGCTTTTATTGTGATTTGGGTGAAAGTTTACAGAGCAAATTTGTTTTCCATTCATGTACATTTTGCTTCATGACACTGATTGTAATCTCCACAATGCAACAGCTCTCTTCCCGTTTCCTCCCTGGGTTACCTTTCTCCTGTGCCCTTCTTTCCCATGCATTCCTGCCTTCTGAGCTTTCTCCTTGTGCAAATGCTGCTCCTTTGATCTCCTGCGGTTGATTATTCTAAGGAGTGTACCTTCCTGGTGTAATTGTTCACTTCCTGGGTCTGTTGTTGGACTGAAGATTAAGCAATGGAGTGAGTCCAATTCCAGGCCCAAAGGTGACTAGGAGCCATACTCTTGGGGGTTTCTCTGTAAAGTAAGTAAGGCTGGTCTTTTTTTATGATTTTGAGTTTTGTTCCACATTTTTCTACCACCCTATCCAGGATCTCCAATTTTGATCCATTTCCAAGCAGTTGGCAGAGGTAGCTGGGCACCATCTAGTACTTCTGGTCTCAGGGTCATGTAGTCTGAGGTTCACATGGCCCACTAATTCCCTGGACTAATTGTTTTCCATGTGTCTTTGATTTTCTTCATTCTTCTTTACTGTGGATGAGGAAAGACCAGTAGTTGCATCTGCAGTGGCCACTCACAAGCATTTAAGACCCCAGTCGCTACTCACCAAAGTAGGATGTAGAACAATGATTTGTGTACTATGTTATGCCAGTTGAGTTTGATGTCCCCTAAGACCATGCTTTTGAATTTTGAATATACCCTGTTCATGTGTTCCTAGTTAAACAATTAACATAAATATTGGTCCTGATCTTTGAAACAGTTTATAAGAACAAACACAAAATAATTTTGGAGTGAGACACCCTTAACTCATATTTCTTGGGATTCTGACATATAAGCTCAGAATTAATTCATAATCCAAAATACAAAACCTGTGAGAATACAATCCACAATTAAAATCAACAGATATTTTGGCAAAATAAGAACCCCAACTTTAGGTGCTAGAAGAATCTGAAAATACATAAAATACATATCTGTAAAATTGATGAAAGCAAGACACAAAGAAAGATAAGTGTTTTTTTTAAAACAGACGGTCCAGAAATGAAAAATATAGTCATTAAAATTTAAAACTCAATTAACATTAAAATACACAATGAACACGTCAAATGGTAGATTATACTTCAGCTGAAGACAAATTGGTAAACAGGAAGACGGAGGTCAGCAAATTCCATAGAATTCAGCGTAGAGAAAGATGAAAAATCCGAAAGAATGGGTGAGTGACATACAGATTAAAATGAGCAGAACAAACGGGGTTAATAGGAGTTGCAGAAACACAAGATAGAGAAAACTGAAGAAAAGCAAAATAAATAAATAAAGACATCAGCGCTCAGATTTGACAACAGACATGTGTTATCACGTTCACCAGGTGCTATCAGTCCCAGCCCATGATGATCCCATGTGTGCTCCAGGAGAACTGTGCTCCATAGAGTTCTCAGGGGCTGGGATCTTTTGGAAATACATCCCTTTTCTTCTGAGGCTCCCCTGGGCAGATTCAATCACTAGCCCTTTGGTTAATAGCTGAGCACTCAACCATTTGCACCACCCAGGGACTTAACAGGTTATGGCCGCACAATATATAGCTGGACAAATAAATTTACACCTAGGTACAAACCGCCAGCCACTCCTAGGAAGGAAGGTTGGGCAATCTACTTCCGTAGTGATACTGCCTTGGCAATCCAAGGAGGGGTCACTATGAGTCGGGCTGACTCGATGGCACATAACAACAACAATGACAAAAGGTACATATCAGAATACTAAAAACAAAGATCTTAAAAACAACAGAGGACAGACAGATATCCTAAAAAGAAATACATTTAGCCAAAGCAGGCTTTTACCCACAGAATAGAAGTCAGAAGACTTTATAATGTGATTGCTAAACTGATAAGAGAAAAATACTCTGTCAATCTAGAACAACTTTATTAGGGATAAACAGGATCATGTCATAGGGGTTATAAACCAATTCACAAAAGAAATGTAAAATTTTAAAGTTGAATGCACCACAAAAAAAAATAGCCTGAAAAAACAAAAGGCAAATTTGAAAGAAGTGATCGACAAATCCACAGTCACAGTGACCTATTTTTTAATCAATAACTTTTTTTTTTTAATTGTGATTTGGGTGAAAGTTTACAGGGCAAATTCACTTTCTATACAGCAGTTCACATAGACTCTGTCTCATGACATTGACCACAATTCACCACAATGCAACAGCTCTCCTCCCACTTCCTCCCAATAGTTACCTCTTCCCTGTGTCTATCCCATCATGCACTCCTGCCCCCTGAGCTGTCTCCCTGTGCATACACTGTCCTTCTTTCTCCCATGATTGTTTGTCTCCAAGGAGTGTATCTAACTCAGGTAAATGTTTAACTCATATGCCTGTCTTTTGTTTGGCTGGAAGTGACAGGTATGGGTTCAATTCCAGACCTGAAGGGCAGCTAGGGGCCATAGTCTCAGTAGTTCCACCAGGCTCTATCAGACCAGCGAACCTGGTCCCCCCACCCCTTTTTGTTTTTGTTTCCAAATGATTTTGAGTTTTGTTCCACATTGTTCTCCCTCTATCCAGGATCTCCTACATAGATCCCCTTCCAAATGGTTGACATTGGTAGCCGAGCACCATCTAGTTCTTCTGGTCTCATAGTCATATAGGCTGCAGATTGCATGGTGTACCAGTCACTTGGACTAACTGTTTCCATGAATCTTTGGTTTTCTTCATTCTTCTTTGCTCTGGATGAGGAGAGACCCATCGTTGCATCCAGATGGCTGCTTGCAGGCTTTTAAGATCCCAGTCACTACTTGCCAAAGTAGGAGGTAGAACAATGTTTTGTGTAGTATGTTATGCCAACTGAGCTTGATGTCCCCTGCAACTATGGTTCTGAGCCCACAGGTTCAACTATTCAGTCCCTCTGGGTAGCTGGCTATGACCAAGAAGTGACTACAACCTTGTCTCTTGTTAGCTCTGCTATACACCTGGTAATTCTTACAGAACATACACATACATTTGTAGGACCGTTGTCTGCCAACACTGTACATGGTCTTGGGTACACTCCCCCCTGCACAGACAAACCTAATAGTTCAGCCTATCCACCCATCTATCCACCAGTATACCCATGTTTGCCTTTACTGACAATGCAGTACTGTGTGTGCAAGAGGGTTCGTCTTTGTTGTCTATACTTCCCATGTGCCTCTCTATGTCTTCTGAGGACATTTTTGATTGTCAAAACTGGGCTGGGAAGGACTGCCAGTGGCATTTAGTGGGTAGGCACCAGGGGTGCTGCTCAACATCCTGCCAAGTACAGGACAATCCCTGTCCTGGTTCCCTGGTGCCGCTCTGACAAGAATATACCACAAATGGGATGGCCTTAACAAACGGGAGTTTATTCTCTTACAGTTTGGAGGCTTTAAGTCCAAGTTCAAAGTGGAGGCTCTAGGGACTGGGTGAAAGCCCCGCAGCCTTGGGCTTCAGCTCTGCCTCCAGCTCCTGGCCCACTGGAGCTAGAGGTGTTTCTTCACTCAGAGAGCTGCTGGCTGCTGAGGCTGCCAAGCCCAAGGTTGACAAGTAAAAAGGCACACTCCTGATATTACCAAATCACACGGCAGGTCATTAATTCAAGTCCATTGTAAGTCCCAAGGTCAGCAGAGCATGGCAGGCTGCTGAACAACGACACGGCTACATGCAGGGTCCAAACATGCCATAGGCTAGAGACCATTCCTAAAGCTGCTGCTTATATACAGGAAGCAGACCATGTACCCAAAGGCAGCTACTCAGCTGCTCCCAGTAGATTCCACCATGGAGTTGATTGCCAATCTCATCATGGGGAATACTACATCCAGCTGCCCAGGCACTCAACCAGGCCCAGCCAAGTAGACACACAAACATAACCACCACAGTCCCCAACAACACAGAATCATCCAGTTCAAAATGTCAGCAGGAGCCCGAGAACTCGGTGGGAGCCAGATTTTGGAGGTCCTTGTATGTCCTCCACCCCGTCTGTCAGTGTGTCATGCTGTGGTGGCTCACGTGTTGCTGTGATACTGGAAGCTATGCCACCAGTCTTTCAAATACCAGTGGGGTCACCCATGGTGGACAGGCTTCATGGATCTTCTAAACTAAGACACGCTGGGAAGAAGGGCTTGGAGAGCTACTCCCCAAAAGTAGCCAATGAAGACATTATGGATCACAACAGAGCATTGCTCTGGACACGTCATCAGGAGGACATCGTGTTTGGTGAAACAGAGGGCCAATGGCGGCGAGGGACCCTCTGTGAGATGGATTGGGGTAATAGACTTGAATATTCTGCTGATCATGAGGATGACACAGAACCAGGCAGTATTTCCTTCTGTTGTGAAGAAGGTGGCCGTGAGTTGGAGTCGATATGATGACAGCTAGCAACCACTGAGTGCCATGTTGACATTTATGCCCACTTGGCCTTGGGGAGCCATCAGTGGCCCTGTAATGGTGAGATTTCTGTCAGTGGGACAAATTTGTGGACAGGCATCATCTGGTATGCAGCATCAGGTGAGATCAGCTTGGTGGACTGTGCCTGGTGTCCTCTGGCTGGCCACACGCTGCAGGGCACCCTGCATGTCCCGGTTCCGCAATGTGTAGATGGCTGGGTAGAGCAGTGGCGTGAGGTTGATGTAGATGAGCGAGACTAGCTTGTCCTCCTCCAGCGAGCGGCTGTGGAGGGGCCTGGCATACATGGCCGTGGCGCAGCCATAGTGGAGCACAGCCACCGTGAGATGGGACACCACGGTGTTGAAGGCCTTCCGGCGGCCCGCGGCGCCCCCAACGCCCAGGATGACCACCAGCACCCTGGTGTAGGAGAGCAGGATCAGGGCCAGGGGCAGCACCAGCAGCAGCAGGCATGCGGCCAGGAGCACATATTCCTGCAGGTCCCGGTTCCCACAGGCCAGCACCAATACTGCCGGGAGATCACAGAAGACGTGGTTGACCAGGCCACCGTGACAGAAGGGCAGCCGGAATATGGCCATGGTGAGGCCTAAGGCCAGGACAGAGCCGCCGACACAGCAGGAGGCCAACAGGCCCCAGCAGAGCCCTGAGGTCATGAGCTGAGGGTAGTAGAGGGGCTGGCAGATGGCCAGGTAACGGTCCAGCGCCATGGCAGCCAGCAGCAGGCACTCCGAGCCCCCCAGAGCCACGAAGAGGCCCATCTGGGCAGCACAGGTGGAGGCAGCCACGGCCTGGCCCCCAGGAGGCAAGAGGAAGCCAGCCAGCATGCGGGGGGTCAGCACCAGGGTGTAGGCCACCTCGACAGCAGACAGCGCGCCCAGGAAGAAGTACATGGGCGTTTGCAGGGCGGGGTCCACAACAGCCAGGCCCAGGATGAGCAGGTTTCCCGCGAGCGTGGCCAGATAGAGAGGCAGAAGGAGGGCGAACAGGAGCCCCTGGAGCCCCCGGGGCCACCCCGAGAAGCCCAGGATGACGAACTCCTGCGGGCTAGTCCAGTTTGACTCGGGCCAGTGGCTCAGGTTGGCACCTGGGGATGGATGGGGGTGGAGAGGAGCGTCGCGGTGACATACCCCTCCTGAAAGGACAGTAAAACCTGCGAAAGCCAAAACCTCTGTAAGGCAGAAATGTGTCAGAGAAGGAAAAAAATATTTCCCACTAAAATGAGTCATAAAGACATGGTCAGATTGCTCCTGTTGAAGGTGGAAACCTTGCGAGATGTGGAAAAACAAGGCAAGCCTGTCCAGTTCCGGCTCTCACAGGTTTCACTGTGTAAGTCTCTGACCTCTCTGGGGCCCAGGAACCCTACGTCCAGCTTTCTTTGTGCCGTCCCTTGCTCCCCACACTCCCATTCCCCACTATCCCCAGACCAGTACTTTCCATCCCTCATTTCCACAGTCCAGTGTCTTCCAGGAATTCAGGTATCCTGACCCACTGCTCACTCTACCTCTGTCCTCCGGGCCCCAGGTGCTTGCAGGCACCCAGGTGTCCTCACCCTTGCCCTGTCTGCGCACAAGCCACTTCTCTCTGGCATTCTAAGTCCCGTATCATCCATACCTAAGGACCCAGACATTCTGGCTCTGAGCTGTTGAGTGGCTGAACAGCTAGTGTGGGGAAGGATTCCAATTTCTTCAAGACAACGTCTTTATTCAGCGAGCTGCTACTCAGGGGTAGACATGGTGCTTCCTGCAGACAAAATCTCTAGGGTGAAGGGGTTTGGTGGTATTAGAAGCTTTTGTTCTCAGAAGCCCGTCTTACACTTGGACTCCGAGGGGACCTCTATGCTGCAAGACCACTGGCATTCTTCTTCTCACCTGCCCTGGCCTTTGCTTTTTCTACCCTATGACGGACAGTTGCCTTCATGAGTGATGGCACCCACGCCCATGGCTTACAACGCTGAGACAGTTCCTAAATCTGTCTCAACACCCAACTCTTCCTCTTTGCTTGTTGTCAGGTGCTGCCAAGTCTATTCCCACTCATCTCGACCCCATGTGACAGAGTAGAGCTGCCCCATGGGTTTCCTCAACTGTAATCCTCACAGGAGCAGGTCACCAGTCTTTCTCCCACAGAGCGACTGCCAACCTTCCCATCAGCAGCTGAGCCCTTCAGTGTTGTACATCATGGCTCCTTTTCTCTTACCTGAGGACCCATGCGTCTGACTGCCTCCTTGGCATTTCCAGCAACACATCACCAACACTTCTGATTTCATCTGTCCCCGACGAAGTTCATTATCCCCACCCCCACACCTCCCACCACCTGTCTGGGAATCAGGAAATCATTGTAGATTCATGGCTTCTCACGTGCTCTCCAGAATTCTGGGCACCATGTCCTATCACATAGCCCTCATGCCCCCAGGAGTTCTCGTCCTTTCTCTCATGACTGGCACTGGCTCTTGTGTTCTCATCCATGAGTGATGCCAACAGATCCGAAGTGGCTCTCCTGCCTCCTGCCAATCACTTTTCCATGCCACCAACTAGAATGACCTTTCTAGACTACAGCTCTCGGTTCTTTGCTTAAATATTCCTTTTTTTCCCCCATCACCACTATTTATTTCCAAAACTTTCCATCACCATGAACAGAAACTCAGTACAACTCAGCCACAACTTCCCAGAACCCCATCTCCATTGCCCTCGGTGACCTCTGACCCATTTCCATCTCTGTGCAGTCTCCTGTCTCAATATTTCATACAAATGGAACCCTTTTGCGTCTAGCTTCACTCACTTAATGCTTTCAAGGTTCATCTGTGTCATAGCATGTATCAGGACTTCATTTCTGTTAATGGCTGAATAATGTTGCACTAGGAGCTCTGGTAGCGTAGTGCCTAAGGCACTTGACTGCTAACCAGAAGGCTGGCGGTTCAAACCCACCAGCCACTCCTCGGAAGGAAGATGGGGCAATCTACTTCCATAGTGATACTGCCTCAAGGAGGGGTCGCTAGGAGTCGGGTCTGACTTGATGGCACATAACAACGGCAACAACAATGTTGTACTGTGTGGATATGCCACAGTTTACCCATTCTGTCAATGGAAAGTTGGGTTGTTTCCACCTGTTGGCTACTGTAAATGGTGCTGCCAAGAACGCTCATGAACAAGTATTTGTTTGGATCTTTACTTTCAATTCTCTTAGGTATATACCCAGGAGTTGAATTGCTGGGTTATATCGTAATTCTACGCTTTGCTTCTTAAGGAGCTAAATATTCCATCTTTATGTATAGAATTAAGTCCAAGCTTCTTAGTGTGGAATTCAAGGTCCCGGACTCACAATATGACTTCCTTCCACTTTCCCAGACTCGTCCCCATGACGCCCCACACACTCCAGCTGCGGTGACTGACCTCTCCTTCCTGCATACATTACAGCTTTGCACATGCTGTCCCATTTCCCAGAATCCCCATATTATCTACCTGGGAAAGTTCTACTACATCCTCCCAGGCTGAACTCAAATGCGGCATCCTGGGGGAAGGCTCTTGTCCTCCAGTTGTGTTCAGTTGTCGGCCTCTACTTCCACAGTTGTTATGGCAACTCCACTAAACTCAGTTTCCTGGAATCTAAGATTGGAGTCAGATTTGTCTCTGTTGTTTGTGAAATTTTTGTATGTAAAAGAATGGTTAATTAATCCTGATTTCTCCCAAATTTGTGCCTCTTCTCAGTATCTCTGTCACCTTAGACAGCCAGAGACCTCACTCCTTTTCTTTCTGAACTACAACCAGTTGTCCTAACTTCTGTTGGTTTCTGCTTTAAAGTGACTCTTTGTATTTACCGTCAATGCTTCCATTGATCTTGTATGGGGTACATGCCATCAATCATCTTTGGGGTCAGTGGTCTTCCTCAAAACTACCAAGAATCAGATTCATCTCCCCAACCAACCAGCAAAGCGCAATTGCCCTCCCCTTTTCCTTAACTCATCCACCTAACAGATACATTCATCTCCTTCTCCACCTCTTCATGTATTCTAATCCTTAAGACATTCCTCCTTTGAAACCTAACTCCAGCTCACTTTCCCTAAGAGCCTTCCTCGCCTAGGTCGAGTCACTGGTTCAAGGCACTTACATCCCTACCATGGCTGATGTCCATCGATGCCATCAAACTACATGATAGGAGGATGCTCATCTTCCATCCTCACTACATGGTTTCGTGATATTTAGCCAATGGTTCTTTTCCTCACTGGAGGCTGGGAATGCATTGAGGTCATTTCTGTAGAGCACAGACCACCAAGCACTGCCTTGTAAATCAGGAAAGCCCTCTTCAAGCATCTGCTGTATGGTGGTGAGCTGCTCACAAGACATCAGGGTCTAAGTTTGCTCACCTGTAAAATGAGAACGTTGGACTAAGTGCCCTTTAAGGTTTCTTCCACTTTTGATATTTTATGTTTCTAACCCAAATTGTGTTTGTGTTTATGCTTTTATTCCCAGGTAAAGTTGTGTTAAATATATATATATATAGATAGATAGATGATAGATAGATAGATAGATAGGTAGATATAGATATAGACATATCTATATATATATAGAGAGATAGATATATAGATATAGATATAGTGGTGTTTCAAAAGCCCGTAGAGAAGTTTGAAGTCATTGGTTTAATTTAGAATAAACAGAATTAAAATAATGTAGCAAGGGAGATGTTAGGTGAGGCATAACATTGTTGTTATGTCACTGGTCATTGAGTCAGCCTCGACTTACGGTGACAACACGCATAGTAGGGCAGAACGCTGCCCGGTCCTGCCCCAGCCCCGTGAGGCATAGTGAATTGGACCGCCGTGACCCACAGAGTTCTCACAGGCTGATTTTCAGAACTAGATTGCCAGGCCTCTCTTCCTAGTCCATCTTAGTCTGGAAAACTCCACTGAAACCTGTTGAGCCTTTGAGCTACATCAAAGCCTCCATGACACGTGGCTGCCCCTGAGGCGCTTTGGCTGAGGACACCTGCTGGGTTTCTGGGTGGGATTCTCCGGCTGAACCAGGACTGCCCCTGGGCATAATATAGTTGATCTTCCAAGGGCCAAAGTACATATCAAAACAGCTCTCTCCAGGTGAGTCCTTCTGGCTAGACCAATGGGTTTGTGTGAGCGTTCACCTTCACATGTGTGCTCCGGTTACAACACATTCCACCTCATCATTCAACTGCAGCATAGCCTCTGGCATCAGGGACGCTCTGGGGGCTGGCATTAGGTTCTGTCTCCAGTATTGTCTGGGCCTCTGATATGCTGCATGAAGTCACCATGTGACATCCCCTGTCTGGGTCTCTGGTTCCTCAGCTATCCCCGTGGTGAGGGATCCGGATCGGTAGCCCCTGAGGGCACACCAAGATAGAATTTTCCTCTGAGGGTGGCTGGTGGGTTTGAACCACCAACCTTCTGGGTAGCAGTCAAATGCATTAGGCACTACGCCACCAGAACTCCCCATATTCCTTTGTTACTCTTGGAGCCCATAAGGTGCAGGGGAACAAACAGGGGTTTGGGGTTCCCACACACCTGGGTTTACATCTCAGCTCTTTCACTTACTAGCCGTGAAAGCTGGGGTGTGTGTGTTTAACCCTTTTCAAGCATCAGTGGCAGGCTCCACCCCACAGGATTGTTTTAACATTAACAGAAACAATGCACAGAACCCATCAGGCATAGCGGTCCGTGCATACAGGAAGCATGATTGAACAAAAACTATCAAATGTCAACGTAGGCTTCGTCTTGCACCTTGCTTCCCGCTCCCCACGAACTCATGCCAGTGTACCACAGCTGGGAGTGCAGAGCGGCAGATGTATCTGCAGAGATTCCATAATCAGGGGTACAGGAGGCGGGAAGGAACGCACGGCTCGGGGTCAGAGCATGTGGACACCTGTATTTCCTTTATTAGCCAGGACGCTAAAGGACCAGCATGCCTGTGAGATGCCAGCCTCATTCCCCACTTCCAGCTCTTCCTCAAGGCACTCCCGGACAAACGGACAAATGCCCAGAGAGACTGATGCTTCCTCTAAACCACCCTTTGTCTTGGTCACCTAATGTTGCTGTAACAGAAATTCCATAAATGGACGGCTTTA